CTGGCTGTGTGTCTGCCTGTCTGGCTGTGTGTCTGCCTGTCTGGCTGTGTGTCTGCCTGTCTGGCTGTGTGTATGTCTGCCTGTCTGCCTGGCTGTGTGTCTGCCTGCTTGTTTATCTGCCTGCCTGTCTGGCTGTGTGTGTGTGTCTGCTTGTCTGTCTGCCTGCCTGCCTGACTGCCTATCTGCCTGCCTGTTTATCTGTCTGCCTGTCTGGCTGTGTGTCTGCCTGCCTGTCTATCTGCCTGCCTGTCTGGCTGTGTGTGTGTCTGCTTGTCTGTCTGGCTGTGTGTATGTCTGCTTGTCTGTCTGCCTGCCTGCCTGCCTGCCTGCCTGCCTGGCTGGCTGTGTGTCTGACTGCCTGCATGTCTGCCTATCTGCCTGCCTGCCTACTTGTTTGTTTGTCTGTCTGCTTGACAGCCCTGTCAGTCTGGCTGCCCGCCTGCCTGCCTGGCTGCCTTCCTTCCTTGCATGCCTGCCTGCCTGCCTTCCCGCGTGCCTGGCTGCCTGCCTGCCTGCCTTTCCGCGTGCCTGGCTGCCTGCCTGCCTGCCTGCCCGCGTGCCTGGCTGGCTGCCTGCCTGCCTGCCCGCGTGCCTGGCTGGCTGCCTGACTGCCTGCAAACATGCTTGCCTGCCAGTCTGCCTGCCTGATTGCCTGCCTACTTGCTTGCCATTAGGAAGTATGGCACAATTCTCTCATGATAATAGAGTTTTTGTCGAGACGTTTTGCTCTTTCCTCGGCGCTAATTTCTTTGAAATGCTAGAAATTTCAGGTAAAATTACGGGTTGTAAAAACCGAATGAATCTAATTATTTCTGTTGGTAAATACATTTAAAACACTATTTTTACGCTCGGCGCCCTAATCTCTTGTTTGTGAATTCGTAGACTCATAATTAAGGAAAGTAGCCTTGCAGTTTTTCAAGTTCAAGGTTACAATGCCTCGCCGTATTTATTCACAAAATATATGCGAAATATAACTACCATCCTGGGCACTAGTGTCGTGTTCACGTGTGTTCTCGTGTGACTCATTAAAGATCAAACGCACACGCCGCAATATCTTGTTTGATTTCTACCGCTGTCTTAGACGAATGATTACGCATTACGGCCATATATTTAATGAGCTTACCATTTACACGCGCAGTTCGAGGAAGTGAGTTTCTATATTTGAACACGGTGTCTGTGTGCAGGAGCATATTTTCTTCCGATATAAGTTTTCTATTACAGTGTGCAGCATTTTCTGACAAAGTCTCACTTCATTTGTCGCTTATAAACGTATATGTACCTAATTATATTATATACCAATATATATATTATATATTCCTATTTAATAGATGGTGCTTCCTACAATAACGGCTGTTTCATACAGTAGCTGATGCTTCTTGCAATAGCTTCTGCTTCGTACAATTTCTTGATTCTTAAAATAACTGCTGATTCTCACAATAATTGCTGCTTCTTACAATATCTTCTTGCTCTTACAATATCAACTACTTCCATTCGCCTACGACATGGTGATAGCTTCGTGGTTTTGTCACACGTGTTCGTGATATTGCTGCGCTTTCGGTCATGCGCAGTAGCGATGCGACGGCTGGATCACACTCCGCACCTCATATATAATTCAGCTGCTAGCTCTCCGTACGTGTATTCTCCGAGCGAGAATCGCGTTTGGATCCGAATGATCGGACGAAAGCGGTTTATAATCGTCTTTTGTGAGCTGCTGCTGCGGTTAAACGAAGCGCGCGCCGCCATTCGAGAGAATTCGTAATTAGATTTCGCCTGCGCTCGAGTTCGGAGCGGCAGCGTGCGCGCGAGAGATAAAACCAAGCAGCCGCCGCGAGGTGGCGCTCGTGCGTGCGTGTGTGCTGTGTGTCTGAACACGCGGTCGTGCATGTATGTGCGTGCGTGCGGTGGCGGCGGTTTCGTTCAGCCCGCTTCCATTTTCGCTGTCCGTTGCCCACGCGTGCGCGCGTGCTTGCGTGCGTGCTGGAGTACGTCTGTTTACGCGCGCGCGTGCGTGTGTTTCGGCCCACTTTTTTTCGCTGTCCTCAGTTCCCCACGCGTTCTGAAGTACACTACGGCATATACAAACCACGAATATATCCCCGACTACCCGCGACTGCAAAAGATTCCTCGGCGGGCATCGCATGAAACAAACAGCCTTCATGTATTCGCCAGACCGAACTGAAAACAACCGATTTGCATCCATCCCCCACATGTAACATCACACGTCATTATACACGTCCGCACATGATTACGTAATCGCGTTTGACACGTTATGACGTCATTGCACTTAACACGTGGTGGCGATTTCGTATTCACCACGTGATGACTTTATTACGTCACCGTATTCAACACGTGACGACGTCTTCGCATTTAAGACGCGATGACGTCATTACGTCATCGCACGTAGCGCCCGATGACGTCATTGCGTCATCGTTACGTCACACTCATGCGTCGCGTCTGTTGTTCTTCAGCCCCGGATACTTCATCGCGGCGCCGAACGTGTTTCGCGTCGGCGTCGAGGAGAGCGTCAGCGTCGACGTGTACGACACGGGCGGCGCGACGGTGACGCTGACGCTGACGCTACAGGACTACCCGGCACGCACGCACAACTTCTCACAGGTCGTCGTCGACTGTAGCGAATGTAAGTAAGACACGCTGATGTTTATCTGCCTGCCTGACTGCGTACGTGTATGGCAATCCGACGTCGTCTGTAAGGGGAAAAACGAAAGATACAACTACTTTACCCGCGGGGCGTCTGCTGCCGTTGCCCCTACTGCCATCGTTACATCTTTTTTGCTTCTGCTACTACTGCGGTTCATGCTGCTACTGCTGCTGCTGCTACTGCTGTTAGTGGTGGTGGTGCTACTGTCGTTGCCGCCGCCGCTTCTGCTATTGCTGCTGCTTCTGCTGCTGTTGCTGCTGCTGCTGCTGCTAATGCTGCTGCCGTCGCCGCCGGTATTGCTGCTGCTGCTACTGCGGTTAATGCAGTTACTGTTGCTACTGCTGTTGGTGGTGGTGCTACTGTCATTGCCACTGTCGCCGCCGCTGCTGCTGCTGCTAATACTGCTGCCGCCGCCGCCGCCGCTGCTGCTGCTAATACTGCTGCCGCCGCCGCCGCCGCTGCTGCTGCTAATACTGCTGCCGCCGCCGCCGCCGCCGCCGCCGCTGCTGCTGCTAATGTTGCTGCCGCCGCTACTGCTTCTGGTGGTGGTGCTGCTTCTGCTTCTGCTTCTGCTGCTGCTGCTGCCGCCGTTGCCGCCGCTGCGGCTGCTACAGCCTCCGCGACACACCTAGATCCGGATTACGCTGTTTATTCTCTCTTCGTCACGGCTGTGATCTCTCGCCTGGTGGGAATGACGCTGCAGGCGTGAAATCCGTCAGTCGGGCTTCCGAGAAAAGTTGAAAGAAGCATGCTGCATGGGTGCGCGCGCGTGTGGTAGAGTGAGAGAAATCGGGACACAAAGAGACGGGATAGCTGAGGGAGAGGCAGATGAGTGGCATGGAAGAAGAGATAGAGGGAGGGAAGACGGAAGGGCGAAAGAAAATGAGGAAGACAGAATGGCGAAGAGAAGACAAGGACGCAGAAATAGATATGTATATCAATAAAATAGAGAAAGAAGAAGGAGAAAAAAGAAGTGGAGAAAATGCTCGCGTGCGTGCAAGGAAGAAGGAGAGAGAGAGGGGGAGGGAGAGAGAGAAGAGAGAGAGAGAGGGGGAAGAGAGAGGAGAGATTGTGCCCATCTGCGTGAAACCTGGGGTTCACAGTTTAGCGCCGCGGTCCGCGTTATAAAACCCTACTTAAAGTGACGTCAGTACACGAAACCACACACCGACATTACAGAATCCCAGCTCTACCCCCCTCTCTCTCTCTCCCTCCCTCTCTTTCTCCCCCCCCCCCCCCCCCCCACACACACACCGCACTCGTCTACTGCTACCGTTACTGGGCGTTGTTAACCAGCAAAAATACATTTTTATGGTTTGATCTGATTTTTTTTCTAAATCCGTTTAAGGTTGCGTAATAAAAAAACTCGGGGTTCAAAGGGGTACGTGCATGGTCTATAGCACTGGCTCCAGGCTAGCAACTATCCCTAAGCTGTAAACTAGAAGCCAGCCTCGACCAAAGTTCAATGATCACACATACGCAGTAGCTTGGAGCTTGGATATGGGGGGTACATCCCCTTTATTCAATACGAAGACACTGGGAATAGACATGAGGGGGTGAATGTAAGGGATTGCGATTAGTAGGGGAGCGTAACCACCTGTATTCACGCATAATATAATGATGCACGCGATGTAACTATGCTACTGCGCATGCGTGGTATTATTCCGTAACGTATTAAGTTCCGCGGAAATCGTGTGCGAGTGGCATTTTCACGATATTAGCACTTGATAGCGTCTTCAGTAAGCCAGACCCTAAAGAGAGAGAGCGAGAGAGAGAGAGAGAGAGAGAAAGAGAGAGAAAGAGAGAGAAAGAGAGAGAAAGAGAGAGAAAGAGAGAGAAAGAGAGAGAAAACCCTGGCGACATTCGACAGTATAGCAGATACATGCACGACCACGCGGCGTTGTTATAACACACCCCGCTACCCCCCGAGTTTGACGCACGGCTCTGAGCGGCCATCCCCTCGCGGCGGCTGCTTCGGCTTTATCTCTCGCAGCGCCACGCTGCCGCTCCGAACTGGCGAGCGCAGGCGAATCATAATTACAACTTCTCTCGAATGGCGGCCGCGCGTCTCGTTTAAACCGCAGGCAGCAGGCTCACAAATGACGAATTATAAACCGCTTTCGTCCGATCATGTCGATCACAAACGCGATTCTCGCTCGGCAGAATACACGTACGGAAGCTAGCACTGAATTAATGAGATGAGGTCGGAGTGTGATCCAGCCAGTCGCAATCGCTACTGCGCATCGACCGAAAAGCGACAGCAAATATCATGAACACGGTGCCGACAAAACCAAACGAAGCCTATCATCATGTGTAAACGGCCGAATGAAGCAGTTGATGAGAAGAGCCAAGAAGATATTGTAATAGACAGCAATTATTGTGAGAATCAGCAGTTATTTTAAATCAAGAAATTGTACGAACATCAGCTATTCGTAAGAAGCATCAGCTACTGTATAAACAGCCGTTATTGTAGGAAACACCATCTATTAAATATGTAATATATAATATAGTATATTGGTATATAATATAATTAGGTACATATAACGTTTTATAAGCGACACACATGAAGGTGAAAGTACTTCTGGCAAGAAAATCCTGCACAACTATAATTAGAAAACTTATATCAGAAGTAAAATATGCTCCTGCAACGAGACACCGTCGTTCGAGAGAGTGAGAGAGAAGCGTGCACTTCCTGCGAACTGCGCGTGTAAAAGTAAGCTCTTAAACTATATGGCCGTAACTGCGTATCATTTCGTCTTAAGAAACAGAGGCGGTAAAATCAACAAGAGTATTGCGGCGTGTGAGTTTGATCTATGAATATCACGCACGAGAACACACGGCTGAACTACGACACTACGTGCCGCAGGATGGTAGTTATAATTTCTCATATATTTTGTGAATAAATACGGCGAGGCAATTGTAACCTTGAACTTTGAAAAACTGCAACAGGCTACTTTCCTTATTACTGAGTGCTACGAATTCACAAACAAGAAGATTAGGGCGCCGAGCGTAAAAAATAAGTGATATATAATGTATTTACCGAACATAAATACTTAGATTCATATCCGGTTTTGTACACACCCGTAAATTTTACCTGAAATTTTACGATTTCAAAGAAATTAGCGCCGAAGGAAAGAGCAAACCGTCCTCGACCAAAAACTCACTATTAATCACTGAGAGAATTTGTGCCATACTTCTGAATGGCAAGCAAGTAGGCAGGGCCAAATCAGGCAGCAGACTGGCACAGCAAGCATGTTTGCCGGCAGTCAGCAAGGCCAGCCAGCAACGCGGCAGGACAGGCATGCCAGCCAGCCAGGCAAGCGGCAGGCCAGCAGGCAGGCAGCCAGGCACGCGGGCAAAGGCAGGCAGGCAGGCAGCAGGCACGCGGGAAGGAGGCAGGCAGCAGTGCATGCAGGAAGGTAAGGCACCAGGCAGGCAGGCGGGCAGCCAGACTGACAGGGCTGCAACAAACAGAACAAACAAACAAGTAGGGCAGGCAGGCAGATAGGCCAGACATGCAGGCAGTCAGACACACACAGCAAGCCAGGCAGGCAGGGCAGGCAGGCAGGCAGCAGAGGACGAGACAAGCAGACATAACACAGACGAGGCAGCCAGACAGACAACAGACACAAAGACAACAGCCAGAACAGCAGGCAGATAGACAGGCAGGAGCAGACACACCAGCCAGACCAGGCCAGAGACACACCACGCAGCCAGACAGCAGGTAGGATAAACAGACAGGCAGACACAAACAGCCGGAACAGCAGACACAACAGCCAGACAGGCACGTAGACTAAACCGCAGGCAGACACACACCAAGAACAGGCAGGCAGACACACAGCCAGACAGGCAGCAGAATAAACAGGCAGGCAGACACACAGCAGAACAGGCCCCGGCAGCGACACACACGCAGACAACAGCAGGCAGATAAACAGGCAAGGCAGACACACCAGCCAGACAGGCCAGCACGACACAACAGCACAGGCAGGCAGGCAGATAAACATGCAGCCGGTGTCTTACTTACATTTCGCTACCAGTCGACGAACGACCCTGTGAGAAAAGTGTCGTGCTTGCCCGGGTCAGTCTGCTAGCGTCAGCCGTCACGCACCGGTGAGGGCCGCCGCGCGTGTCGTAGCACTGTCGACGCGGTGAACGCTCATCACTCCGACAGCCGGACAGCGAAACACGTTCGCGCCGCGATGAAGGTATCCGGTGGCTGAAAGAACAATCAGAACGCGACGCAAATGAGTGTGACGTAACGATGAACGCAATGATCGTCATCGGGCCGGCTACGTGCGATACGGTAATGAACGTCATCGCGTCTTAAATGCGAAGACGTCGTCACGTTGTTGAATCACGGTGACAGTAATAAAGTCATTCCACGTGGTGAATAACGAAATCGCCCCACCACCGTAGTTAAGTGCACATGACGTCATAACGTGTCCAAAAACGCCCGATTACGTAATCATGCTGCGAACGTGTATAATGACGTGTTAATAGGTGCAGCCGGGGAAGGGGGAGGGCAGTACAACGCGGGGGAGAGGGGCCCGAGAAGCGTGAGGCAGAACCAAAGCGACAGAGCTGCCAGATTTTCGTCGCATGCCGCACACCAACACAACAACACACACACACGGCGCCCACACGTAAACGCCGCCGCTAAGTTCCGGTGTCGGCAAAAAAACGTAATACATCGGAACGTCGCTTAACAGCGGCAGCGCGAAAATCTGGACACCATCGCGCGTCTGCCTCACGCTCCCCTTCCCCCTCCCCCTCGCCCTTCGCCCGCTATGACATTCAACACGTCATTATACAACGTCCGCAGATGATACAGTAATCGCGTTTTGACACGTTTAATTGACGTCATTGCACTTAACACGTGGTGGCGATTTCGTATTACCACAGTGATGACTTTATTACGCCTCACGGTGTTCAACACGTGAGCGAGTCTTCCGCATTTAAGACGCGATGACGTCATTACG